TACGTTAATACTTTGTTAATATTTCAAAAGCTGGTTCTCAAATCTTGGAGCATAACAGCATCTGGACCTCAGAAGGAGACGAAACAAGTAGAGCCTCATCTTAAAAATATTTGAGTATGGGGATTGTCTTTTCCAACCATGTGGAACATCTGTTTAAACAGCATAAAGCTGTCTTTGATCTGACGTAAAAGCTTGCACAAACAACACTCCTGAATGTCCTGGAGGCACATCATCGACACAAATGAAGCTTCCTCAGCTCTCTGTGACCTGAACACAATATTTCACAGAATCTTACATAACAGCTGCCCCCATATCGCTGTTGTCTGATGTCTGCAGCCTGGAGCGGGTTCAATTGTTGCTCATCACATCCGTTCCTCTTTACTTTTTCTTAAGTTGGTTTAGATATTGGGTAAAAAAAGCACTTTCTCCAAATTAATGTAGGAAAAAAAGTGCAACAGGCGACACAGCTTTAACAAAAAGAAGCTACTCTTGAATTACTCCTAATTTATTTCCTAAAGGATTAACTGTATGCTCTATTCTTGTGAGTTTATATCTATTAAATCTGTTTCTACTTTAGTGACCTTTCCCACTCTTTAATCGTGTGAAACCTGTTTTGATTTTTTTGTTTTCATATTTGATTTTCCGGTAAAATAAGATTATTATATAGCAGCACATCTATTTTCATAAAATAACACCTTCGTATTATTCTCTGGGGATAACACTGGGGATAACATGAGACGACTGTTTAGAGTAGAGCTGCAACTAACGAGTCATTGATTTGAAAATTGATTAATCTGTCAGTTATTTTTTCATTTTATGAATAGAAAGAAGGTTCCTCAACACATTTTTAAGAAATTAAACTAAAACTTTCACACTTGAGGAGTTCTTGATGGATCATATTGACAGATGATAAGTTTTTTTTATCTATCTATCTATCTATCTATCTATCTATCTGTCTGTCTGTCTGTCTGTCTGTCTGTCTGTCTAACAAATCTTCTGGCAAAACAAATCAAAGTTTAAATCTTCAGAATTTAAAATCTGTCAAAAACTGCTGGGATTCACTGAAACAACTTGATCCCCTCAACTGTTTTGTCATTTTTGATGTCATCAACCTAATCACACTCTTAGCAAAGGTAGCAGCATTTTTTTCCCTTACAAGATCCTGAAATGTTTTTTATTGCGAACGAACATTTGTTTGTGGAAAACAAACAATAAGAATTCTGTTTTTCTTAGTTTTGTTCAGGCAGCTACTCTATTTTCTGTATTTTTAAGTTTTCGTATACACCTCATGGGTTTAAAAAAAATAAACAGGAAACAAAAAGAAAAATCAAAAATTAAGATATCTGTAAGGAAGTATATTCTTAAAATAAGATTTTAAGAATACACTTTTATTTCTCGTGCCAACAGAAGCCTAAGTTTCACTTCGGATGCCTGCCTAACCTTTATTTATTAAACACAGATTGAGCTTTTAAAGCTTGGTACTTATTTTTTCTGTGGAAGTGGAAGAGTTTTTTTTCACAGATTATGATACCTGATAGATTTTTTTCGGTTGACTTTTGTCTGAACCCTTTAAAGCCTGGACCGTGACATAATTGAGAAAAATTCTATATATTTTTTTTTTAATTAAATTTGTTATCAAACTTTCGAACAAATTATATAAAACTAAATTGTATAAGTTAAATTAGATCATTAATTTACATACATTTTGATTTCTGTAGAATCTCATATGTTTTCTGCTCACTACATGTGTTTGATTGTGTAATTCAGGGTTTTCAGGAACAAAAATATCACACTGATAAAGAAGAGCACCAGTGAGTCATTCTACATAAGTGTGAGAACTGAACAGTTGTGTAAAGAAGCACCATGGACTAAATCCTGCAGGGAAAAAATCTTGGGATTTTTTTGGACCTGGATTTTACTGTACAACAGATTATGAAAGTTATATTTTGTCTTGGCCACTGAGCATCATAAGTTTATGTGTATGAGAGGTGCAGCAGCTGTAAGCTTTGTTGTTTCAGTGCAAACCACTGCAGTGGATTATTATTAGTGTCTGGGTTAGGTCTGGTTTCAGTTGTGTGCTTTGAAGAAAAAGACAATATGGCTCAGCCTGGTAAATCATTGGCTTCATCTGGCAGTGCAGGGGTTATGAAGAAGGGTCATTACATTTACTGTTAAAAGCTTTTGAAACTGAGGAATTAATTATTCTTCGTGTATCACAATGGGGAAAAAATAATCTAAGAAAAAAAAAACATGTTTGTCATTTTTAAAACCTTTTTAAAGGTTTTCAAAATGCTTTAGGAGAAGCTCTCTGTTCCTAAAACATTAGAGAACGTAGAGAAGAATGTCAACCAGTCGTATGTTGTTATATTTATGTGTCTGAATCCTGAAGAAGTTGTTCCATTCTGTGTTTCCTCTCTCTATATCTCCTCCTCCTCCTGCAGTGTTAATCTCCTCTGGGTTGGAACTGTCCTTGCTGTGCTTTTCTACCAACTGAAACGTTTTATTTTTAACGACGCTGCAGATGAGGAGCAGTGGAATTGGCACGCACTGCCAGATTGCCTGTCTTAGGTGCAGTAATCCAGCTGTCTTACTTTGTATCAGTTCTGGGAGAAAATTTCCCGCTGCTCATGTCTTATCGTGTCCTACAGAGTGTCCTCCCATTATTCCAGTCACTTCCTGGTTTCCACCAAAACACTAACCTTAGAAACTCCCCTCTTAACATTGAATTATTGCCTCTGTTCCTACAATCCTTCTGCCTTCACCGACCATTTCTCACCTGCCGTTTCACCCGTGAGACAAAGATCAACTTTATATGTGTTAAACAAACTGAGAAAAAAAAAAAAAATTTTTTTCCACCTACCCATCTACAAACCAGTTTAGCTTCTCTGAGATTACCCTTACGTTCCCTCTCAGGAAAAACAAGTAAATTATCAACATTATTTAGATTAATTTAGGCCTCCAGAGCTTCACTAATTCCTTTATTTTCATCTTTACCTCTTCTCTGAAAAATCAAAAGATTAATTAGAATCTAGAATAAACTTCTTTCTTGAAAATATTTGAGTGTTTATACATTACAACATAAAAGTCTGAGAGAGGGGCCTTAGGCATATCCTCTCCTTTCTCTTTTACTCACTCCATCAGCCTCCTTCCCTCCCCTGCTACCTGCTCCTGTGCCACCCACTGAACCTGCAATGATGGACGGCAGAGGGGTCACATAAATCCAGTGTCCCTGACAAGGCCAGTGAGAGGCAGACAACGTCATTACTCTGTTAACACGGCAACATACCGCACAGACTGAGTTATGCCTTCAATTTTGAAAATATCTGTTATTTGAAGGAGCGTCTTCCCTCTGCCTACTGTACTTTAAGATGTTTTAAAATATAATTCAACCCAACATGATGCACCGCCGTACAAAGTCAATCATCATGGAGCAACGCAATATGAAAACTACTAACTTCCATGTATGGTAGAAATATTTTATGTAACAACACAAATGGAGACATGTTATAAAAGGAGAAACAACACACATATATCACTTTTTTTCCAAATTAAAAATAAAATACGTGAAATAAATAGGTATTTACATGTGCAAGTCTTTACTCATCAAGATACTTAAGAAAGAGAAACTGAATTTATATGCATGCCACACTTCTAGTTATTTACCGTAAAAATGTGTTTTTGAAAGCAGACATCTTATTTCTGGCCTTTTCAGATTAAATATCATTAAAATGAGTTGACAAAAAACATAAAAAGAAAACGAAGCACAGAGCTTGTGTGGGATAGTTTTGTCAAGCTTTGCAAGAAGAGTGTTAGAGCTCAATTTTCCCATTTTGGGACAATAAAAGGGTTCTCTATTCTATTCTATTCTATTCTATTCTATTCTATTCTATTCTATTCTATTCTATTCTATTATATTCTATTCTATTCCATACTAGTCTTAAAGACTTAGATTTATTTGTCATTTTGTTTACACATGTGTAAAACAAAAAGAAATTTCGTTTGGAACAGCTCTCTGGACAATTTTATCTTTTTAAAAAGTGCAGCCTTGACAAATTGTAAAAATATATATGTATACATAATCAGTAATATAAACATATGATATATGCACATTTACAGTTCTGTTATATTCTATTAACTGCAATTATGTTTTTTGTAACACATCTTGCTTTTTCAGGGATAGAAATTGCATCTTTATGCCAGAATATCAGTTGGATGAAAATAAGGACCTAAATGCCCCTTTTTTCATTTTGTTGCTGTTTTTTTGATTGTCTTGTTCA